TTAAACTTCTGCTATTTACAGACTAAGAAAATAATTGTAGGTGAATTATTTATGAATCAAATATGGTCTGGCTCTTGTGCTATGGAGACTATGAATCTGGCTCCTGTGTTAAAGCGTCTTATCGCGCACTGCAAATGAATGCTAATCTACCAACAATCATGATAGCATTCCTGCAGGTTGAGTCAGAACCGCAGCGCTCAAACAGTAATTTTCCAAAATTTCTTATTTTAAATTGTACTCTCTTTCGTTATTTAAACTCACTTAATTTACATTTCTATTGGAGCGTATAAAAACGTAGAAGTGCAGGAAGGTTCAACATAAGGATAACACATTAATTAAAATAAATTTTACGTTTCCGTTTCTTATATATATATATATATACATCCCTTCTTTTTAACTTGTTTGTTTATAAAAACATATTTTAATATGAAAACTTCTTATTTTAAGTATGAATCATGTCTATAGGAAACTTATATTTCTGGTGGACATCTACAAAAGGAACAATTAGCGTTCATGTGCCTTAAGATAAGGAAAACTATGAGGGGAACGTTTGAATTGTGTCATAGGTATTGCCCTCCATATTATCTCTCTTAAACTATAAAATCATCCTTAGAGCAATTCATTGCAACTTGACCGAGAATTTTGTAGATGTCTGAATTTTTTATATTGGAGTTTCTCAGACGTTCAGTTGGAGTCTCATTCACTTTAGTATATTCTTTAAAATACAGCTGAGCAGGGCCAAGCTATAAAATCTTTGAACACCGATAGTTCGACTTGGCTTCAAATCCTGACGAATAGGCTAGCTAGGACTGAGCTTTCGGAGTTTCTCTTAAAATGTCTTCCACTAAGGCATTTCTTTCCTTAGGAGGTACCCTTCGCGTGCTTTGTCGTAATTAAATAATAATACAACATCCAATATAATACGAGAAGGCAATGATATTTCATGTACGCAACTCAGCATGATTATTTATGGAACATAAAATTTGCATATAACTTTAAGTTAGAAGTCTTCCTCAAGCTGTAAATGTGTTTGAAATTAAAATAAGTACTTAAAAATTACTCCAAAGATCTTCGTTAATAATTTTAATTACAGAGGAACGTATTGTGGAAATTGTAACTGGATGGTATCCTTGGTTTTTAATTTATCATATTAATAGATGTCTAAAACATATATTCTACATTAATAGTTGCCTGTAAGCAAAATAATTTTTCTCTTGATGAATTAGTTTTCTGATACTATCTATACGTAATGTATGAAAATTACTATTATTATTTTTATTCTCATGATTTGCATATACAAACCGTTAGAGCATAATTATAATAGCTAAAATGCCGAATAACTTCAGTTTCTTTTAATCTGCATTTCGCATATAGTATCCTTTAATTGTGCTTTTGTTTCTCACGCAAATTTCAGAAACTGATGTCGAAATAAGAATTCCATTCTTTTAGATCTGAGCTAATATGAATCATGTATCAACCACGGTAGTTTATTAACCGCACAATACCCCATTAGTTCTGGAAAGAATCTAGAAAACAATTAAAGTTAAAGGACAGCATTAAAGCTCATCATTCATTCTACTTCCTTAACGTTGTGGCCTTTAGAATTTGATGTCCTTTTCCTGCCACAGCCACTGCTTTAGAAACCAAAGTGACGCATGAAGACAGATTGGGGGGCTGTATCCAATTAACTTTCAACTTGACTCCCTCCTATTATTGTTCCCACTTCTTTGGGGAGCTCTTTACGCTGTCAGATGGTATTACAACCCTAATTTGGATTTCACTACCTCATGCTAGGCTTGAATTGAGCCTATTACAACCTATACTTGACACTTTCTTCTTGATCAACAGGGAGCTCGCAATCAAACTTTACATCATATATTTTAATAAATTGTCGTGTAATCTTTATTTCAAGATTCAAGCACTGCTGCTAAACTTTACGTTTAGTCATGTAGTGCCATTTTTTTGCGTCTATACATCATACGTCTTTTATGATTTCTGAAACAAATTAGCTCTAGATGTCTAAAGAAAGCCTGGATCTTATCTTTCGGAATTAAAATAATAGGACTGCACATTGCGATATTTTAAATTATTTTTCTTGGTTCTTCAAATTCTGTTTCAATGTATCAAACCAGTAGTCAAGGGAAAAAAACTAATAATGCAGTTCATTTGGCACAAAAGTACATTCTACAGTCCATCCACCTGGATAAAGAACATAATTCTCACAATAATATTCTGAAACTCTGAAGGAGTTCTCTTTTGTTTGCATATTATTTCGTTTGCATTATTTAATTAAACTTCTTTAAAACAGCATGAAATGCTTATTGACAATAGGTTGTTTAAATTTCTTCCAAGTATAATTTTACAATTTAAATTCTGAAGAAACTGTAAGCGTCTCTTAAAGAAATTCCAGCCATTATTACAGAATAAATCTGACGTTTTGAAACTCAGGTATTTTCATCAGGCAGAATCTAACACATATATTATGAACTCCAAAATATAACTATCAGTAGCTCTCATTATCAAACAGGACTTAATCAATAATGTCAGTTTTATAAACTTACGTGACCTTCTGATTATTTAGATTTGCCCATGTTAACAGGTTACAGTAACTATAGTATTCATATCTAGAGACTAGGGGATAAAAAATCAATTTTCTTCTTAAAAATTGACTGCAGCTAAACTACATATGAATTTAGCAGCCAAAGACATTTCTTGCTGAAAAGGATATGAAAGTTAGGCTGATTATTTGGGAACAGTAAGAAGCTTTTAATATGCGAAAACCAAACGCATAATCATAAACTCTATAGCAAACTGAATGAAACCTCCTTTGCAACAAGACAGAAAACTGAAAAATTATCTTCTTGAGGCACAAGAAACACCCAATGAGTATTTGCATTAGGAAGAGTTCTTTTGTGGAAAACTTTCAAATGAAAAATATCACATATTTAAGTTTATAAGCTATTTTTCCGGCCTTCTTAGCAGGCCTTCGTGATGTAATGGTCAGCACGATCGGCGCGTATTCGAGAGGTCCGTTGTTCAAGTCCCAGCGAGGGCATTGCACATTTCTCAAGTTTCCAGTATCCAATATATCTACAGTGGCTCAGAACTAAAACAGATGGTGAATGATGATTCTCCACCACCAGCGTTTGGCGACTGGGTCCCGTAATCCCCAGTCGCCCTTTAAAAGCGAGAGTATATAAAACATTTCTCCCTCCTTCTTAGCATGCCTTCGGCGCGTATTCGAGAGGTTCAAAATTCGAATCCCGGTGAGGGTACTGCTCATTTTTCACATCTCCTGCTTTAAAAAATTTCTAATGTCTCTACAGTGACGCCCGAACTAGAAAACGTTGGTGGATGATGATTCTCCACCACCAGGATTCGGCGGTATCCCGTAATCCCCAATCGCTCTTTAAAAGCTATATTAGGTATTTCTCCCGCCTTGCGTGGTGTAATGGTGAGCACGCTTGGCGCTTATTCGAGAGGTCCGTGGTTCGAGTCCCAGCTAGGGCATTGCTCATTTTTCATTTCTCCTGCTTTCAAAAAAATACCTAATGTGTCTACAAGTTGTATATTGGGAAACCGAAAAAACAAACAAACAAAAATTCAAATTTTATAAAATGTAATAAATAAAATAAATTACTTGTCATTTCCCTAATTATTTATACAAATCACAGATGCAACTGCACTGAAAATACTTTCCGAATGGTGAAAAGCTCTTTTTCAAAAGAAACTTTCATTGTTAAATAAAAGTGAGAAAATTTTTATGTATCCCATTTTCTTCATATTGTAAGGATTATGTTAATTTTATTAACAGTTAAATTTTACGTTAAATTTCTTTCCTGTCAAATTCAAAACTTCGACGTACTACTTCCGGCCAGACCGTAGTTTTGGAATCTTTCTGAATACTTAATGAGGAGGAGGTGGTATTTAAACAGCGAAGTCTACTTGCAGAGTTAGAGAGAATCAGAGTTTCTGATTTACACGCGTCTGCCTTTTGGCTACTCTCTCTCTCAAAGCTGATATTACGCTCGGCCGTACTCAGGCCCTTGATAAGCTTCGTAGTCAAATAGAGTTAAGGGGCCAACTATATTAGAATCTTGATAGCTTCGGCTATATCTCTTTAGTTAATCTTAGTTTTAGTTTAAATTTTTAGTCTCTTAAGTTGAAGCCCAAGTGTTGGCTTTGATTGTACATTCCAAGACGGAGTTTTGTTAAATCTTAATTGGAATAATAAAGGGTTAGTTACCCTTCCATCTTGTTGTTTCTTGTTACACGAACTTAAGCGATTATTCGCTAACTAGTTCTCAAGATTCGTCACTTTCTACAGTAACTGAGAAATAATCTAGAGAGAATCTTACAATATCACAAGTTGCAATTATACATGTGTTCTGTTTGAAGGTAGATAAACAATTATTCTACTAATTAATTGTTCTACTATTCTAATAGATTAAAATATTTACAATGAATTATATACAAAACTATCATATACGCATCATATCTTTCTATATGTCTTAACAATCCTATTAGCATTTTTTATTTGTTATCGTTTTAACAGGTTAGAATTTTTTGTATTCTTTGATCATCTAGCATCTCATCGTTGTGTATCTGCTTTAAGAAAGAGCTATCTTCGAGAAGGTCATTTTAAGGGAAACCGTTTCATGTTTACATTACACATGAGGACAACCACGAAAACAAATCAGCTACTCCATTCGCTAGGATTTGAAGCTGTGTCAAACTATTAGTGTTTAACAGACTTATTCACTCATCTACAGATGGGTTCTTTGGTTTCAGGCATAAGAAGACACATCATTACACGAGTCTTGCAGATTATGCCTTCAATAGACAACAGAGAATGCACACATGCTCTCCTACAACACAGAATGGATTTAAGAGTCAGGCAAAGAAAAGCTATAAATTTTGTTTACCCTGGAATAATCGCAACACAGTAAGGCATGATTTGGTTAAAATGTTTTATGATGAAGATATTTTATTCGCTGCAGAATTTTCAGCAGTACAAGATAATTGTGAATGATGAGAAGTATCGGGAAGATCCCACAGAACTTCGATGTCAACGATTACGAAGATTAGTATTAACAGAAACGATGGAATCATAATGAGCCTTTGAGATATTACTGAAAGATCTTTTGAAGAATGCAATTTCTTTTAAACACTAAGAACCTGTACAAACTACTTGATTTTGCATCGAGATCCCCACGCACTCTGCCCAGCAGTTTATCAAATACCTATGCATTAAAATGTTGATGCGTCTTCCATATTCAAAGAAAATGGCTCTGTGTAACTTCTATCTGTTTCTTGAAATGAAGTAAAAACTTCATATGGAGAGAGTCAATTTGCATTGCTTACCGAACTGAATAATTCTAGATTTACCATCCATGTCGAAGAAGACCTTTCATGGTCTGATTTCTTGACCTCCACTTTCAAACGAACCTTCAAATCCTCCTATCGTATTTAAAATATATAAGATGTTATGCAATTTTCCAATTAAAGGTTTCAAAAATACAAAATCAGAAGCAGAATCCATTAGAAGAAAAATTTTCTTCCATGTCTGAAAGAAACTGAAAGTATTAGTCTGGATTTTATCCATTATTGAATTGGTAAATAATTTAACTATATTAATTTGGTGATATTTCTATAACTTAATTAAAGTTTGCAGTAGACTCAATAAGAGAATAAGAGAGACTCAATAAGACCCTTAGAGTCCCCTTTTTCTTTTATCTCTCGCTCTTTTCCAGTTTCTTTCACAAAAACTTATTCTGGTTTAAAACGTATAAGTTCATATTTAAGCAATGCATTCTAAACTGAAACATGAAGACAAAATGTAAAAAGACGAAAAAGTGAACTATACTTTTGTCTAAAATACTTTGAAAGGAAAATATTAAATTGCAAATTTGTTTCAGGAAATCTTATATGAAATGTAATTGGCACCAGTTGCATCCATTGAATAGAAAAAAAATGCATTCGTAACAGATTTTGGTTCGGGAACATGCATTCAGATTGAAAGAAGCATATAAATGTCACTTTATTTATTGTATTACACTTTTGTCCTACGAAAAAAGTGTCATGACATTTTGACTGACCTACGCACGTACCATAAATTGTTGGTTCCGGTAATTACGTAACTAGTGTGTCTTATGAGATACGATAATCTAACATTACAATTCGATTTTAAGTACAAAATATTTTGAACCAAATCATGAATTCATATTCACTTTACATTTAATAAAAATATCACATTAATTTTTTAGTAATTAAAAGTGAACCGAAGTTTTGTACAAATAACATAAAAACTGCAGGGAATAATCTGTTGCAATTTGAAAATAAATCCTCTTTTTCTCGTGTCGTTTCCATACTACGGTCAGATAATGGATATTATCTATACTATTTTTTTTTCAGACTACTAATCGTTCGTTTCTTCTGACAAGAAGCAACCGTTAACGAAATAGCAACTGCCTAATGCACAAATGCATTAAAGAGCTGTTTTTAAAATTAAATTCTGAAGAACTTTACAAAAAAGAGGAATGGAGAAAACATTTTAATGTAAGAAAAATTATGTATGTACTATGCTACGTCATTTATCATAATGGGTCCTCCTTCCACCCCCACCAGCGGCCGAGCGGTAAAGTCGCTGAACACTGGTAGTTCGGTCCGAGGTTCGAATCCCGCGAACGGGCTGGCTGCATGGGCGTTTTCGTGCTTTTCCCCCCATGTGTAACGTGTATACGAGCCAGTTTCCCTTAGAAAGTCCTCCACGAAGGCATCCCTCCTCTTAGGCAGATAGCCCTCGTGTGCTTTGCCATAATTAAATACAGGTAGGTAGGTAGGTAGGTAGGTTACGGAGGACTGGAACGCCTGGTGTCTAACAGAGGTAAACAGGCATGTGTTCCAACAGGCAAAGCTTCCTGGAACCACACGAGGCTGCACCAGGAGATTATTGAGGTTGTCAAAGGGAAGTACATGGCCTTACAAGGGCATTAGTAGGATTGTATTACAGTTTGAAGAGGCAAGCTGTGGTGTTACAGATAGTAGGTAGTTAAACTAAAAATACTTAGATAATAAGACGTACGCATAAAAAAAAACATAAAAATGCATAGGCAACAATACACAAAGCACAATGCGTAAAATGCACAAACAGAGAGCACAAAAAACAGGTACATACACATAGCCACTTAAGGCACAAAAAGATAAATGGAGTACATGAAGTCACATGAAAGCTGGAGCACAATGTTAGTGTAAGGCAGTTCTGTTGGATATAAATACAGGTACATCTTGAATGATGAATGATGAGTTCATGAATACTCATGTGTGCAGAAGAAGAGTGCGGTTAGATTGCTAAGGCGTGATTATTGTAGCGTCGCTAAGAACATAGATAAAAACACTGATAAAAGGCACGAGGATGTTGTAGCACTAATTATTGGGCAGTGCCCCAGCAATGTGTGCACCGTGAGGCACACAAGCGTTCACTAACACTGCGTAAGAAGATGTTGTTCACATGCTGTTGAAGGGATTACACACGTATCATTATGGAGGCATAACACATCTCTCTAAGGAGATGCCACATATTTGCGAATTGTTAGTATTGCCACTTTAGATTGTGGGCAGGGGAGCTTAAATACACAGTTGTGGTGAAGCCCAGATATTGTAAAATTCACTGGACTAATCTTAGAGCTTATCATCAGTACACCATAGCGTCATTTTAGCACGGTAGGCAAAGGTCTGTGCCCAATGCCGCGATGGTATTCATGATGCTGGAGATTGAATTAACCGCTCCTTTATGCGTTATAAGGAACCGGTGATAGGCGTTCCTATTATTTGTAGGTAGCGGAAGATGGTGTGCAGCCGTCAAAGGACATTCAAATACGTAATGGTCTGGTGACCCTTCTGATCCACAGACACAGATATCTATATTTGAGATGCCGTGGCGATTGTAATAGCTGGGAAACGGGCCATGACCCGTGATGAAGTAGGTGAGAGGTGCTACGGCAAAGAGTCGATCGGCGGAAACTTTCGGGAGGTAGGTGAAAGTCCGTCTGCCTGTCTCGCATTCGGTCCACTCACGTTGCCATTGGTGCATTCCTTGCTCTCGTGGGAGGCCCTTTAGATAAGAGCAGGGCGCAGGTACGGTGATGGGTTGGGCTGTCGGGTTGGAAATTGCATCTTTGGCCAACGTGTCAGCAGCCTCGTTGCCCTCATTATTCGCATGGGCTTTAACCCAGACTAGATTGAGATGGTAATGAGGTGTTTGCATAAGGAGATGTTGGAGACTGAGTATGAGAGGTGAGACATGATGATGGTTCTCAAGTGCAAGTAAAGTTGAAAGGCTATCGGTATAGATATTTGCTCGTGGGATCTGGCAATCTATGAGATGTTGCACTGCTGCCGTAATTCCCAGTACTTCCGCCTGGAAGATGCTATTGTGAGTGCGAAGTTGTCCTTGCCAGTCGTGTACAGTTTTGCCATTCTCATAGTGCACAAAAGCACTGCCTACACCATTCTCCTGCTTTGAACCGTCTGTGTAGATCTGGTTCCCATTCCGTGGTGCGTGTGTCGAGGTGTGAGTCTGTTGCTTGTCAATTTTGATGTGGGTTCCACTTCCTCTGAGAGCTGGATGAGTATGGGTAGAAGTGGAGGGACGTTCGAACTGGACTGGACTGTAGCTGGTATTTGCGAAAGTTGCATCTTTGCGTAGGTGGATCAATTTAGTAAAAGTTGCCTCCATCTCTGCTTTTATATGGAGTGGTAATATGCCGGCTAGAACTGTTGCTGCACTGGTGGCGATTGTGCGGTAGGCTTTGCTTAATTGTAGGGCGAAGGGGCGTTGTAGCGTTGTAAGTTGCCTGATCTTGCGAGTACCCATTGGCTGCGCCCAGATCACTGCAGCATATAAAGCTATTTTTTCTACAACTGTGAGGTATAGCACTTTTTGGATGTGGGGGTTTTGGCCCCAGTTGCGACCTTGAAATTGTCTTGCTATGCGGGCGATAATTGACGTCTTGTTTCTGGTTTCCATGATATGCGGAATCCAGGTGAGACCTTGGTCCCATACTACCCCTAAATAATTGAGATTCCGCACAATTTTGATGTTTCGGCCTAGGAGTTTTATGCATGGACAACGAGTTGGATTGGTATCTCGTCTGGGAATTATTATGCTGACGATTTTCCTATGGAGATCGTGAGCTTTAATTTGTTGCATGCGGTGGTAAATAAAGTGCAGGTCTCTGTGCTGTTGCGTTCCAGTTCTTTCCTGGTGCGTCCTCTTACGAGCAGGGCTACGTCGTCTGCATAAGCAGTGATGTTTGTATGCTGTGGCCAGTTGGTTTCAAGGACTGAATTGAAGGTGAGGTTCCAGAGTGTCGGTCCCGCACAGGACCCCTGCGAACAACCTTTTTCTTGTACCTTGGATGTCGTACCGTCGTTATTTACGAACTGAATATGGCGGTCGTGGAGGTAGCTGTTGAAGATGTTGAATAGGTTGGAGGGGCAGTGTGCTCCTCTGAGGGCCTGCTTAATTGCTGGCCACCCATTCATGTTTATATAGCATGAGTGTAAACATCTCTTATTAAGTCGCTCCATCAGCGGCCAACCGCTAAAGTCGCTGAAGACTGGTGGTTCAGTCCGAGGTTCGAATTCCGGCGAATGAGCTGATTGAATTACCGTTTTCATAGTTTTTCCCATGTGCAACGTATATACAAGCCAGTTTTCCTTGGAGTGTCCTCCTTCCTCTTAGGCAAATAGCTCTCGAGTGCATTGCCATAATTGAAATAACCCCGTAGTTCACTAACCAGTTACTTTAATTTTAGTATCTTTTCTGAGTTCTCTTATTTTACCCCTCACATTTCCTCGCCAAGATACAAATTAAGTAGGTGAACGAGAATATTTAAACGGTAGAAACGAAAAGGTTAGACAGAGCGTTATTTTGTTAGTGAAGCGCACGTTTGCTATTTTGTTCTCCAGCTGTTAATCTTAGTAGCGGCTACGCATTCTGGCTGTCTAGTTAGTATAACGCCGGTACAGGTTTCTGAGGCAGCCTGTTAGATTAAATTAAATTTTATAGTCTAGCACAATATCTTGCTTCTTGAATTTATTTGTTAAATTATCTTTAAGTTCTCACTGTAAGTAGTCGGTACTGTTAAGTACACGTCAGTCCGTGTCTTTCTGTGAAAAAGCTGTGATTAAAAAAACGGGCTTTTAACATCCTTTCCCTTTTGTATTCGTCTTGACGCCTGTGGGTGAGAGGCAGGTAATGATTTTCCAGCAATATACAAAATGGTTTCGTTATTATCATCGATTGGAGACTCTAAAGGGCCAATACTCTTGGCTCATCATCAGCATTCCCCCCCCCCACACACACACACACGCACCTAACGCGAAACCTTCCCTACCATGAAAAACCCTAAGATAGTGTTAATGCTTAATCTTCTTTAGCTACTCACACGATTTCAAAAGTTTTCTTATCAAATGTACCAGAAGTTGTACCAATAAGGTAAATGCTTTATATTTTCTCAGTGTATCTTCGAATTCATAATGGCACAGAAGGGCTGCATAAAATTGAAGAAAAGTTTAAACTTCCGCTAGGTAAACTAGATTTTATTTCTGAAATTAAAGCTACTGGAGTCCTAGGAAAAGTCATTAGAAAGGTGAAAACAAATAAATAAATAGTTTACAATAAATAATGTAAATGATGAATAAAAATATTTATAAATTAATGTTAATTAAAAATAGTAAATTAAATTAAATTAATGCATTCTAAAAAGGGAATGAATCAAAAAATAAATGAATGGTGGCTGAATTAATGATAACAAGGCATTACACGGAAAACAAAAGAAATGTTTCAAACAGGATTTTTTGCAGTGGCGGATGGCATCCTTATTTTATCTTATTATTCATTTTAAAAATATTAAATAATATTAAAAATAAATTTTTAAAAAGTCATCCTGAAATGTGTTAGTAACTATGGATCAGCAGCTTTGCTGAGATTATTAGGAAAAAAAATCAAGTGAAAAAGTTTTAACATAACTGTAGTTAGGAAAGTAAGGCACGAAAAAACATAATGCTGTTGAGACACGTTTAGACAAAAAGTTATAAATATTCCCAAATGAAAATCAACTGCCAGATGTAGAAATGTTGATCTGCTTTACACTGAATGTAACCAATTTCATTTTAATTCCAAACCAGTGGTATCCAAAGTGTGGGTCGCGACTACCGGTGAATCAGAAATCAGTTTCTAGTGGATCTCGAAATGTTTTGAAGTACTCTCTTTCTTGCTGTATATAGTGTGTATGGTGTATAACAGAGAAGAAAGTCCCAACTTTAAGAAAAAATAAAAACATAGCAAAATTAATAATTTTCATAATAAAATGAGAGCTGGAATATGAAATGTGAAAATGAAAACGCAATAAAAATAAAGAACATAGATTACGAAAAGCTGTTTTAATCACGAATATTTACAAGAAATAACGTTTGACTTTTATAAGAATTGTTCAAATGAACGTCCACCAAGTGCAATACGTGTGTCACAACGGAGTGACTGACGTACAGATTGGAAGACATTTGTCTTGTCATGTACAGCTATTTGGCGTCTGACCGTGCACTGTATTACGAACTTGCATTGCTAATTTTGTCATATCCGAACACCCCTTAAAGTTGCGACCAGCTTTCCTATTACGTCTTGCATAATATACGTCTAACTGCAAATTAATTTACAGCTTTCAATTAAGTTTTAATAGGAATATACCGTATTTGACGGCATATAAGACGCACCCTTATTTAGACGGCCACACACAAGGAAAAAAGTTTCAATAGCGTGGTTTCTTTTAGTTCTCACGTTTCGTAAAAGCCAAATAAACAATTATTGAATGCAATTACCTTCACGTATAAGACTGTATCCTTCACGTAATAGACGCAGGTAACTTTTTTGAGACCAAATTTAGGAAAAAAAGTGCGTCTTATATGCCGTCAAATACGGTAGTTTTATTTATCATAACTTCATAACTTCATATTGAAATATAATGCATTAAGTGCATTATATTTCTTCTAGTAGTGTTCTTCTTCTCGTCTTCTTGCTCACATCAGAGAAATTATAATGCATATGGGTCGCGATATATCTCAAATAAATGATTGGCTGTGAAGCTAAAATGTTTGGGAAACAAGCATTAACCGCTGATTTTCGTGTTGTTTACAAAGTTAGGTCTGGCTTATACAATATCATAATTAAGAAAAAAAAGAAGAATTAAAATAGTGACATAATCGCAATCCATGTCTCGGTAAAATACTTCATTCGATTTTTCCGCTTCGTTCTAAGCGAGCATAATAATTAGTGTATTTATCACATATATTTTGCATGGACGTATTGGAAAATATTTGATATCTTATCTCTATTTCCGATTTCGGCCTCACATTTCTGTCTCAGTCTAAATCATTTCTGCAACTGGTTAAGAAAGTTTTGACATGCCTCATTAAGATGACAAATTAACACTCAGCTGCCAACGCAGCGAAAATAGAATTGAATTGAATTTGATTCCATTTCTAATTTGCTCTCAAAATGCTATTTCTTTCTTTAGCCACTAGATGGCAGTTGACAAATAGCCAGTAATCCGATTAGGCTGCGCAATTTTGTCGGTGAAAAACATCCTAAGGAATCCCAAATGGTTCTTTGTTTGTTATTTATGACATCATTAGCTGACCTGAAATAGATTATCTCCTAATAGTGAAATGGACATATACGATGATCTATTGTACAATTTGAAGTAAAGCATTTAATAATACTCAATGCACTTTGACAGGTTCATATCATGTTAAAAATAAAAATTGGCTTTTGTGTAATATCTCGGGGAATCTAGAGACATTAGGAGCTGATCGGTTTTTGAGAATTATTTTTTTATGTAACCCGGGTGTGGTGATTTTGCTCTAAAGGCCTGGGAGGGGCAATTTCATCAAAGAAGATGGGTGTGCCCAATGCCAATTAAAATGACACTGCATATTCGAATAGATGCTATATGATTGGTTCTCTGCCTGATTTAAAAGTCTACGAAATTGTTAAGTACAAATATATTTACGTATCTATATTTTTCTACATCTCTATCTGATTGCAGGGCAAAAGAGTGCAAGTAAAACTTCTTTCTGCAACTGTTTGAAGCAAACACTATACCATTCCAAATGAGTGAAAAAAGATTTCCAAAAATTTGCAGTACAGTAAACGCTTGCCAAAAGCGGGAGTTACTTCATAAATACATTGTGAGCACGACAAAATTGCTTTCCGCAAAGTTAACTTTCACCGAGAAACTATATTAGGTATAGTTCAAATTAAGAAAATATATTAGAATTTAAACAATCCTAAACATTGTTGTAATTCAAAAGTAAAAATGAAATAAATGCTAACTGAAAAGAGGATTTTTATTACTACTTAAAAAGTAGATATATGATAGAATTTTTTAGCCCACTAGCGACATTAGTTCTAAATGGAATGTTAGCCTCGAAACGGCATTTTGCTTCGAAACACTTAAATGCGTCATATCAGTTTTCAAATTGTTGCTATCAAATATACCATATCCCTGTATTATATTTAAAGAAATTAAATAATGTGTGTGTGTGTATTTAATTATGGCAAAGCACACGAGAGCTATCTGCCTAAGGGGATGGATGCCTTTGTGGAGGACTTTCTAAGGGAAACAAATTAAATAATGAAGAATCTGCGTGAAAAAAAATTGTAGCTATTTGTCAAATTTCGAAAAATGTAGTCCTCCACCCGAACATGGGCAACGGGAAGCCCGATTTTTTAATTTGGAATTTGTTTTATTATCTGTTTTATATTTTGTAAAACTTTAAAGATTTTTTTATTAACAGACTCAACGATTTCAAAGCAAGCAGGTGGCAACGCAATACCGAATAAATCACTTTTATCTCCCGAGCGCGAAACTGTTTATCAGAAATTCTATGAATATGCTGTTTTTAAATATTTTGTGGTTTTGCTGTTGAATCGAAATTTAAGTGGCGAAGGCGCCAAAAATGGGATATTTGATAAATTGCGTAAACACACAAAACGTTGACAACAGAAAGGCAAAAAAAGTTTTGTCTAGTAAGAAAATTGAACATTGATATAATGAACTGAGTAAATACTGCGGAAAAATGTAAAAGAAAAACGTATGCGAACTCTTAATGCTGCACTAGGAATTCAAAACGTACACTGCTATGCTG